TATTAGACAGGTTTCCCCTGTTCTTTCCTCCACAGTGCTTTGCTAATCCTCTACACTCCACACCACTTGTTTTCCTTTAGCACACTAGCTAAAGCTTTATACCCCCTACTCAGACAGATCACATAGAGTTTGTTATATGACTGCTGCTCTAATATTAGTGTAAATAATAGCTGTTCTATACAACTGTAAATACTTCACAACCCATCCCCCGGATATTAGCCCATTATAAAGGTCCCTAAATTCTATTCCTGTAGTGATTAACTCTATTGGCTCACACACTACACCTATTTACTGTTCCTTACACCTACCTTACCTCAAAATCTGACCATCTGAAACCTCACTGCTTTCTAGTTCCAACTAACAAGCCTTCCCTCCCCAACAACAGGATTATCTTTTGTCCATCCTTTTCTAAAAGTGGCAAGTTGGGTTGAAGAATACGGTTAACACTGTATATAGCCTAAAGATCGCCTATCTCCTCTCTACTGGCTGTGACTGTAAATATCATAAAAAAACTCTTCTGCTGTCATAAACCATTTTGCCTCCCCCTCCAACTGATCACACATACAGGATAAAAGGAGTAGGTGGAAATGGAGAACATCAAGATACCTGAAGGAGTCTGCACCACTGAAATTTACACGTATTATACCACAGAGGTTCACAACGTAAACCCAGGGAGTCAGAACAGATCAATTTCAGAAGCTGAGGCTAACAAGAAGAGTCTCACAAACAATGGGAAGACAAAGAAACAATCCCCAAATGAAAGAAAAAGCAGGAACTTCAGAAAGAATGTTAGATGAAATAAAGGCTAAACAACTATCAGATAGTGAATTCAAAGCACTGGTTATCACAAAGTTTACAGAGCTCACAATGAGCTACCAGAAACTACAGGGGAGCTACAATGATCTCACCGCGAAATATATCAACATGAAAAAGGAAATAGGAACTATCAGCAAGGGACAAGAGAAAATGAATACAATTTCAGAATTGAATACAGTAGAAAGTATTAAAAGTAGAGTTGATGAGACAGAAGATCGGATTAGTGAGTTGGAGGACAAAGTAGAAAGCATCTCACAGAAAGAGCAGGAAAATGAAAAGAGGCTCAGAAAGAATAAAGAGGGATTAAGAGAAATACAAGACAATATGAAACGTAATAATATCTGAATAATAGAAGAAGAAGGAGAAGGGATAGAAAACATATTTGAAAGAGTAATGAGAGAAAATTTTCTTAATTTGATGAGAGAAAAGTCACACAAATCCAGGAATCACAGAGAGTCCCAATCAAGAAGAACCCAAGGAGGCACTTCAAGACACATCATCATCAAAATGGCAAAACTCCAAGACAAAGAGAGAATCTTAAAGGCAGCAAGGGAGAAAAAAGAAGTAACATACAAGGGAGCCCCAAATAAGGTTAGCTACTGACTTCTCAAAGGAAAAATAGAATAGCAAGAAATATTCCAAGTAATGAGAAACAGAGGCCTATAAGCAAGGCTACTTTACCCAGCAAGGCTCTCAATCGTTATAGAAGGCCAAATAAAGAGCTTCCAAGACAAAAGAAGTCTAAAAGAATATGCCTCCACCAAACCAGTCCTACAAGAAATACTAAAAAAAACTGCTTCAAGGAAAGGAAGGAAAAGATACAGATAGAGAAGAACACAGGTACAAAAATGGCAATGAATAAGTACCTATCAATATAACCTTAAATGTAAATAGATTAGATGCTCCAATCAAAAGACACAGAATAGCTCAATGGATAAGAAAGCATGACCCACACATATGCTGCCTACAAGAGACCAACCTCAGGACAAAAGACAATCACAGACTAAAAGTGAAAGGCTGGAAACAAATTTTCCAAGCAAATGGACAAGAAAAAGAAGCCAGGATAGCAATTCTCATATCAGACAAAATAGACTTCAAAAAAAGGGCCAACCAACTGTATGAGAAAACATATTTGCCAATGATACCTCAGACAAAGGTTTAATCTCCAAAATATACAAAGAACTTTACAACTCCACTCTAAGAAGACAACTAACCCAATTAAAAAATGGGGAAAGGACTTGAACAGACACTTCCCCAAGGAGGACATACAGAACATCCAGAGACACATGAAGAGATGCTCAATATCGTTAGCTATCAGAGAGATGCAAATTAAAACCACAATGAGATACCATTTTACACCGGTCAGGATGGGCATCATAAACAAAGCAACAAACAACAAATGTTGGAGGGGTTGTGGGGAAATGGGGTCCTTAGTTCACTGTTGGTGGGAGTGCAGACTCGTACAACCATTATGGAAAACAGTATGGAATTTTCTCAGAAAAATAAAAATCGACCTGCCTTTTGACCCAGTAATTCCACTGCTAGGATTATATCCCAAGAATCCTAAAACATCAATATCAAAGAACCTATGCACCACAATGTTCATAGCAGCACAATTTACAATAGCCAAGAGATGGAAGCAACCTAGGTGCCCATCAGTAAATGAATGGATCAAAAAATTGTGGTACATATACACAATGGAATTCTATGCTGCAGAGAGAAAGAAGGAGCTACTACCTTTTGCAACAACATGGATGGAACTGGAAAGCATTATGCTGAGTGAAATAGGCCAGGTGCTGAAAGACAAATACCATATGATCTCACCTTTAACAACGAAACAAACAAGCAAGCAGAATAAAAACGAAGACACTAAAATAGAGAACAAGGGACAGTGACCAGAGGGGAGAGTGAAGGGAATTTAAGGGGAAAAAAAGGGAGGGATTTGGAGGAACAAATAGGAAGGACACAGGGATGAGAACTAAGGGGGGTGGAAATGGGAGGGAGGTGGGGAGCACGGGGTGGGGGGGCTGGGATGGGAGAAATAGACAAAAAACTGTACTTGAAAAATAACTAAATAAAATTTTAAAAAAGAAAATACTGTTCTGATTGTAATAATTTTACACCTTAAGAAATAAATTGTGGCTTTCACTGACACTGATTCTTCAAAGTACAAGTTCTTAATTTTGGATGTATACAGGCAAAGCTTACTGGAAGAATTCAAAATGCCCATCAATTGACAAAGGTACTCAGATTCCTCTTACTCAAACTTTCTCAATGGAAATTCCCTTCATCCCTTTAAGAAAAAAGATATAGCACTTCCGCCAGTTGGAGGCATAGGTGGAGACGCCTTGCTTTCTCACACAACCAAGTTTAGAGACAACAAAATATTAGCAACAGAAAACATAGACAGAACACAAAAAAATTGAACTTTTCAGAAGTCTGATAACAACGGATGCTTCAGCCTGACCAGTAAGAGGGGCGAAACCAGCAGCTGGGGGAGCAGAGTTGCACAAGAAAAACTCCGTCAGACGGACTCAGGCTCGAGAATCCCAGGTGTGGGGTTGCAAAGGGCAGACCCAGTGAGCGACCCAGTGAGTGACCATGGATCAGGCGAGGGCACTGGGCAGCGTGTTCACTGTGGTGCCGCATTCCTGCGCAAATAGACCGGTGAGGGAGTGGACAGTGAGACGGGACCAAGCGGGCCCCAGCAGCAGGTGGCAGCAGAGAGGGCTGCCATTTCCCCGCTCTGACCTCGCCCCTACCTGCGGCTTCACAACCCAGCGACCTTGCCCTGGTAGCCCCGCCCCGCCCCTAAGGCTCCGCTCCTCATATTTAATGGACCCAAACAGACCAAAAATGGCTCAAGGAGATCTCAAAACCCCAGAGCCCATAACTCTAAGCAACGAAGAAATAGCAAAATTTTGAGATGCACAGTTCAAAACACTGGTCATCAGGATGCTCACAGAACTGGTTGATTTTATTCACAAATCAGAGGAACATATGAAGGCTAAACTAATTGAAATTAAGGGAAATGCACAGGAAACCAATAGTGATGAAAAGGAAACTGTGTCTCAAATCAATGGAGTGAACCAGAAGGAAGGAAAAAATGACCAAACAGGAAAATATGAAGAAACAAGAATTCAAAAAAATGAGGAGAGACTTAGGAACCTCCAGGACATCATTAAACGCTCCAACATCCGAATTATAGGGGTGCCAGAAGGGGGAAAGGAATAGCCACCAGTGGAAAACTTATTTGAACAAATAATTGAGGAAAATTTCCCCAATCTGGCAAAAGAAATAGACTTCCAGGAAATCCAGGAAGCTCAGAGAGTCCCAGAGAACTTGGACCCAAGAAGGAACACACCAAGGCACATCATCATTATATTAGCCAAGATTAAAATGAAGGAGAGAATCCTAGAAGCAGCAAGAGATAAGGGGACAGTCACCTACAAAGGAGTTCCCATCAGACTGTCAGCACATTTCTCAAAAGAGACCTTACAGGCAAGAAGGCCTGGAAAGTATTGCAAGTCATGAAAGGCAAGGAACTACATCCAAGATTGCTCTATCCAGCAAAACTTTCATTTAGACTGGAAGGACAGATAAAGTGCTTCTCAGATAAGATCAAATTCAAGGAGTTCATCATCACCAAGCCCTTATTATATGAAATGTTAAAGGGACTTACCTAAGAAAAAGAAGATAAAAAAGATGAACAGTGAAAGGACAGCAAACTCACAGTTATTAAGAACCACACCTAAAACAAAAGTAAACTAAGAGGACAGCTAGATCAGGAGCGAAAACATAGAAATGAAGATTTCATGGAAGGTTAGCAACACGGGAGTGGGAAAAGGAGAAGAGGGGAGAAGGTACAGAAAATAAGTAGCATAGACAGTAGGTAGAAAATAGATAGGGGGAGAACAAGAATAGCATGGGAAATATAGAATCTAAAGAACTTGAGGTACATGGACATGAACTAAAGGGGGGGAACGGTGGGGGTGGGGGTGCAGGGTGGAGGGGAATGAAGGGGGGAATAGAACAATTGTAATGGCATAATCAATAAAATAAGAATTTTTTAAAAGGAAAAAAAGAAAAACGATATAGATTTGGGAAAATTATTGTTGGACCAAGCCCCAAGACAAAAATCATAGAATATGGAAAATAAAAACAACTGAAATCAGCATTGAGGTTTATTTAGGAAGCAACTTCCTTCTGAACAGTTCTTTGATTAAAGCATCTTTCACATCTTTATTCCTAAGACTGTAGATCATGGGGTTCAACATGGGGATTACCGTAGTATAAAACACAGCCACCATTTTCCCCTGCTCCACGGACTCTTCTGAGGGGGGTCTGAGATACATGAAGAAAAGAGCTGAGTAGAATATGGTGACAGCTGTCAGGTGGGAGCCACAGGTGGAGAAAGCTTTGTGCCTTCCTTCTGAAGAGGAGATCTTTAACGTGGCAGGAAATATGTACACATAAGAAATAAGAATGATAAGGAGAGAATAGGTGAAGTTGAAACCAGCCACAACAAACATTGATGTTTCTTTTTTGGTGGTGTCAGAGCAAGCCAGCTTAATCAGAGGGGGGTCAGCACAGTAGAAGTGATTGATTTCATTGGAGCCACAGAACATGAGGCTGTAGGTCCACATGGTCTCCATCAGCCCAGTGAGTGCTCCATACACATAAGGCACCGTGATGAGGGATGTGCACACGCTCTTGGACATTTTGATGCCATAAAGCAGAGGGTTGCAGATGGCCATGTACCGGTCAAAGGCCATCACAGCCAGGATGTAGATCTCCACATGGACCAAGGCTATAAAAAAGGTAACACTGCACCAGACAAGCAGGATAGGAAATGGTTTTCTTCTCTGACAAGAAAATCTCCAGCATCTTTGGAGTCACGTTGGAGGAGAAGCACAGATCCACAAAGGACAAGTGGCTCAGGAAAAAGTACATGGGCGTGTGGAGCCTGGCATTGACCTGGATGAGTACAATCATGCCCAGATTCCCTGCCACTGTGGCCACATAAATGGCCAGAAAGAGCAGGAAGAGGAGAATCTGCAGTTCCAGGCGATCAGTCAGTCCAAGGAGAATGAACTCAGTCACTGAGGTGAAGTTTCTTCTCATACTTTTCTTCAATGGGAAGTGAGATCTTGGATTAGTTTAGAACTTTTTTATGGAAAAGAAATTAATATTTTCTTAGGACATTACTTTGTTTCTTTTTCTCTATGACTATTTTTCCCCTGGAGACACTAGAAATAGTTTAATTAAAACAGGATCTAATCAAATGTTACCAAATCCAAAGTAGCTCTGGGGCTCATTCAACAGTCACCTTCAATTTTTATTTTTATTTTTGCTAATTAATCTTTTATTTCTCTTTGTTTACGTATCTTTGTGGTGTCTCTCACTACATTCTTACCTACATCCTATCTCACTTTGTCTATTTTCAGCTTTTTATTTAACCCCACATTAATTTTTTATCCTAGATTTTGCCACTCAGTGGCAATAAACAAACAATCACCATTAATTTAAATAAATTTACAAGGCAACTTAATAAAAAACAATTAGAAATTGATAACCTTGTACCAGAAGTCCTTTTCCTGATAACGATTCTTTCAGGTCTTACCAGACAAAATCTCTTAGGTTTTCTGTCAAAGGCCACTAACTGATACATTTAATTGATTCTTTGTAGAAATTGAATAGTCTGTACTTCCTATTTTAGACTGACTCTATGGTATTTGGGGGAAGACACCAAAAAGAAGAGATATCTTTTTTAAAAATTAACAATTGTAAATCATTTACCAGGAATAAGAATCAATATAAAGTACAGGGAAAATTTGAGAAATTCTTCTAACCTTTTCCCAATAATTCAGTAAACCTTGGAGAAGCTAATTGTTCAATCCATCAGGCCTGAATTAGACTTTAGAAATGACTCAGTTGAGTATATTCATCTATACTTGTAAAATCATTAAAGAGCACAGTGCTCACAGCAGCCACTGGGAAGTGACGGGCCCTGGGCTGGAGCTTCCCTCACACTCACACAAGGGCTTGCCTCTTAGGTCCAGAACTAGTCTCTTTAAAACAACACTTTTTTGAAAAGGCAAAACAGTAGTAAACAAAACAAAGCAGCCAAGAATGACCCTTTTCTTTAGTTACTTTCAAACCAGATTAATTACAACAAAAGAGTAAGTTTTAGCCAGGAAAAGGTGATGAAAGAGTGTGATTTGGTACAACAGGTACAGTATTTTCTACCCCTTTATACCAGAGGCTTGCCCTCCCCTTCCCCTGTTCTGCTGCCTGAGGCTGCGGTATGGAAATAGTGCTGAGCCTGGATCCATGGATGAGATGGCAGAAAAATGAGTTAATAAGCTGAAACTCCTAAAATTGTGGCAGCGATGAAATGACATATCCCCTGAGTTGTATATAAATTAGAATCGAACTCTAAATTGTTTAACTATCATTTTATTTTACTCTTGCATGAATTAGAGTTATTATTCAACTAATAACAAACCTCTAGGATCAGTACTCAAGATGCTATAAAGCTGATTGCTATATAAAATATAATTATATGAAGTGATAATTGTTATTTTGAATTTAATTAATCCCTCATAGGTTATGTCCAAGTACCAGGACCATGCTATGACTTAAAAATTGTTATAATAATGCCTAGATAATCCCAACATTCACCTTGTGAGACATTTTTAAATTGTCTTAAACTTACTATTCATTTATTCCATGCCATTTAGAAATCCAAAATCACAAATACACACACAAAAATTGCAATTCTATGGAATGTACCTGGAAGATAATATTTGTTGCAAAAGAGTAAAATAATTAAATTAAAATATTGGGCATGTGTATTTTTTTAAAAAATCCTAACCACAGAGGATTTTTTAAAATTTTTAAAGATTTTATTTATTTATTTTTAGAGAGGGAAAGGGAAGGAAAAAGGGAGCAAAACATCAGTGTGAGTTTGCCTCTCTCACTTCACCTACTGGGGACCTAACCTGCAACCCAGGCGTGTGCCCTAGACCAGGATTCCCTTAGGTTCACAGGCCAGTGAGCCACTGAGCCACTCAATCCACTGAGCCACTCCAGCCAAGGCCACAGAGGACTTTTTTCATGGACTGCTTTATAGTACCTAATCCCCAGCTTCATAATATCTTTGGTTTTTCTTATTTCTCCCCTATCCTTTTTCTTACCTCCACTCTTCTTTCCCCAAATGACTTGAAAAACTCCCTATTCTTCTTTCTACATATCATTCTGAGCATCTCATCTTTTCTTCACTGTGTGTGCATATATTTTCATGTGGGTAGTGGCGTGTCCCACTTATCTTTTTCTCCCCTCCTATCAGAAAATACTGAAATATATCGTACCTGCATATGTATTCACACCCTCGTCTTAGATCCTAGTTTCCTTAATAATGCTCTACCAAGATATATTTGTGCTTTTCAAAATTAAAAAAAAAATTATTTTGTGCTAAAATTCTTCTGGTATTCATAAATACCGAAATTTGTCTCACAATATCAACCACAGGTTTTGGAACTAAACAGATTTGACTTGAAAAAAATGACTGTGCTGCCTATTAACTCTATAATTGTAGAAAATGTAACCTTTATGAACCTCTGTGTTCTCATTTGGAAAACGTTGTAACAACAGTTTTCTCTAATGATTTTAAAAGTTATAATGTATGTAACTATCTGACCATGTGTGAAGCAAATAAGGCCATCACAAGAAATTTTTTGTTTCTACTTCTCCTTTGTTTAATATCTAGAAGAAATAAAATTATTGCTATTAGCAACCCTAATTATTGCTATGCAGTTCTTTATTCTACCCATACACTTGTTCTTATCAAATAACTAATTCCAAGTATAAATAATAACCCCATTGCTAGTTCTTCACACAAAATCGACAGTCCTACCTATAAAGTGGTGGGAAAAATCAGCGAGCCTTCAAAAATAATAAGTGAGGAAAATCAGCCCTTGTACTTATTTATAAGATTGCTTCCTGGGAGAGAGGTGGGGAGCAAGGGGCGGGGGAGGCTGGGATGGGAAAAATAGACAAAAAACTGTACTTGAAAAATAACTAAATAAAATTAAAAAGAAAAAAAAAGATTGCTTCCTTTTCCCTATAGCATCTTAAAAACAACATGATTAAGCAATCCATTCTGCCAATTAAAAGTCCCCTGAAGATAGCTCAGGGAATTTTCACAGGGAAGTTAAGAATGGCTTAAGCATCTCTTTTGTGTTTTCTTCCTCAGCTCTCTTGGTAGTGGCTTTGCCTACTGCTTGAATGAAGTCATGCATTTCTGGACACCGTTCTTTTTTGCTACCTTCATTACCCAGCAAGAAGGGCTTCATTTTAAAAAGAAAGTTACTCACTCATGTTACTTGGCCATCAATGCAGCAGGAACATATTCTACCACATAGTGTCCTTGCAGTGATCACTGATTCATTTGGGAAACAAAGGGGTACATCTAGCCCCCTTTTCCTTTTGCTTGTTTTATATTGTTTTGTTTTGTTTTTTGAAAAGTCCCAAGGGCAAATGAAAGCAACTGGAGAAAGCTAAAGTATGCACATGATTTAGTATGCTTTCCTAGGCTGTGATGTATTTTGTATAATTGTTGAATTTTTTAGTGGTTAAGTGTTTTTAATATATTTGATTAATAAAGTAGACATACTAACTGTATTCACAAAACAATTTTTTAAAAATATACTGCAGCTGTTTCTCACAAGTGTTATGGTAATATAGTTGAGAATGTTTCTCCATTAATAAACATTATTCTTGATTGGCAGTGGGTATATGTTTAATCATATTAAAAGCCTACAGTACCTGGCCTTTAATAAACTCCATAACTTGTGTTAAGCAGAGTTAAATTAACACATGATCACAAACATATTAAGATATTTTTATCAGCTGAGGTGTAAGGTAAGAAGAAACTTGTTATCAAAATAGTCTTACCCAAGAAATTCAGGCTGCTTTTAGGTCCTTAAATAGAGCAAGTCTTCTAGAAAAAATCCATTTTATTATGCTATAACTTCCAACCCAAGGCCATCATAATAAATAATGATTGTATATATAAGTTTTTTTTAATTCTTGAATCAATGGCTACTTTTACATACATTCTGATTTTCCAAGCTTGTTCATCAAACATCACATCACTTTAGAAGTGCTCTTTACAACTCAGAAAAATTAATTTTACAATTAAATTATGGAAGATCTCCTTGCGGAATGTGAGACAGATAAAAACTAAGGAACCAAGGCTTCAGAACCAAAGAGTTTAAGTAATTCAGCAGTTACCCAGCTATTGTTTTTAACTATTCATTGGACATTCTCTGAAAATTTACTTTATAAGAGTTTATTCAATTGTTGAAACAAATAATCACCTTGTTTCAAGGAAAACCAAAATACAAAGTTTTACTATATTCAATAACAAAAACAAAATGCAAGCCTTTCAAATTATTTACATAGTGATTCTTTATGCTTATGGATAAAAACATAAGTAGTAATTCAACTCTGGATTTCATCATATTTTCAAATATTACATTTTTCTTTCTATTTATTTGTCAGTTCAAAAGGAGAGTCACAACTATACAGAAGAGATACTTTATTAATATTTGTATTGATTCTTTCAAGGAAGTATCATTACCTAGCCATACTTTGAGAGATTTTTTAAAATATATTATGCCACTAATGTTGTTCTATTTCCCCCCTTCATTCCCCTCCACCCTGCACATACCCTCCCCCACCATTCCCCCCTTTAGTTTATGAACACATGTCTCAAGTTCTTTAGATTCTATGTTTCCCATACTATTCTTGCCCTCCCCATCTATTTTCTACCTACCATCTATGCTACTTATTTTCTGTACCTTCTCCCCCCTTCTCCTCCTCTCACTCCCCTGTTGCTAACCTTCCATGAAATCTTCATTTCTATGTTTTCACTCCTGATCTAGCTGTCCTTTTAGTTTGCTTTTGTTTTAGATGTGGTTCTTAATAACTGTGAGTTTGCTGTCCTTTCACTGTTCATATTTTTATCTTCTTTTTCTTAGGTAAGTCCCTTTAACATTTCATATAATAAGGGCTTGGTGATGATGAACTCCTTGAATTTGATCTTATCTGAGAAGCAC